CCCCCCCCCCCCGCCGAATCCGGTCGAATCTATTTCAGTGACACCAGCGGGTGCGCCACACACCGACCGCGCCCGCCGCGGTGCAAACGGAGCCGGATCAATAACGAGACAGACCGTCGAACGGACGCGCGATGATTGAAAGTGGCACGCACGAGGCAAAAAAAAAAGTGAGAGAGGACGGAATGAGTTCCAAGCGGCGGTCCAGGGTGGCGCGGTCTCCAAATCATGTTGATTCAGTATAGAGATTTTCAGTGCACAGAGTTTTAAGTACTACTGCTGTTGTACCGGATCCTCAGTGATCTCGGGATCTCGGCCTTTTATTTTTCCCATTTTTTTTCGTCTTTGTTTCTGGTCGAGACTAAATCCTAGTTAATGGTGAATAACGTTGGGGATGATGATGATTCGTCGTCATCACATGCAAAACAACAACAACAGTCCTGAATCTTTGCCTCGGGCGGCGGTGGATACTTGGGAACACAACAACTACTGCTGTTAACTACTCTGATGTAACATTCGCATCGTAGTAATTCAAAACTTGGTTTGGGCCGTCGTATGATCTATCCCATGATTTTGAAGGACGTCACCCGGTGTATGGAGGTGTTCGAAACCAACAACCACAAATTATCAATCAACGCCTATATACTCTCTCACTCTCTCGGGGCTGCATACCTGCTGTGTCAACGTTGTGGCTGTGAGGGTTGTGGGTCCGAAAGGTCAGATCTTGCCAGAGATGAGTGGAGAATAATGATCCAATGCGTGTCGGTGTCGTTACTCGTTTGATCTACCTCCGTTCGACGGAGAGTCGTTCACAACGCCATAACCAGACGGGTTTGAAACTCCGAAAGCATGTGCAGTGTGATGGTCGGTTGCGTTTTGCAGGTGTTCGTTGGTGTGGGCATGTGTGTTGACATATACACGCACGCACGCAGGAAAAAAAAAAATCATGATTTGATTTGATGATACAAAAGGACAGCAAAAAAACATGACACATGGATGGGGACGGTTCTCTCACATACTTCAAAGCTGTATCTACGTTGATCTTCAGGCACGCGGTCTCTCGAGCCTCACTGAGGCTCTTGACCATCAACCCGACGTTTGTTGCGGTGCGAAGCACTCAGCACAGAGACATTATTGTTGTGGCAAACAGAAGAAAATCCGCGAGCAAGATTTTTTGAATACCAAATAGTCTAAATGTAGCTACAGAGAGAGAGAGAGAGGTGGCGTAGAAACCAAACCTACATTTACACATGCGAATCCACCGCCAATCCCACCCGCGAAATGAAATGAACAAATATATTACGGCTGGCTGGCAGCACATTGTGAAGGCAATACCTCTGCAGCAATCACCTGAAAGTAGCTTTGCACCCGGATCGCCGTATTCTCAGGAACAACAGCCTCCTCCAAGCTTTTCCTTGAGCTTTTTTTCTGGAATGTGACTCGCTGCCGCCGCCTCCTTCCGAGTTTTGGTGAGTATTATTGAGTGATTAGAGGAGGCAGATGAGCGTAGGTTCTGTGTGTTTACTCGCTTTCGGGGGTCTCTCGGATATTTTTTTTCTTGCCTTGATAATGATATGTGGATGTTTGTTTGTGTGCAGGAATACAGAGTACCATGACGGACCAAGGAACACCTCTCTCTCTCTTTGTTTGCCTGTATGTTGACGTAGTATATGAAGTATTATTTTGCATGCTGTTAGGGTCGAGTACGGAACAAGAGGGAATTCACAAAAGGTACATTACACGTCCCACCACGACGAATAAATGACGGGACTGTCGCCATACACAATAATCAGGACGAAAACAACATCAACAACAACACACACGTGGTGGGAGATGGAGTTCTTCTGCACCCAGCCAATTTTCGTCTTGACTTTGTCACGCCGAGGGTTAGGTCCTGTCGACGACGCCACAACCTACGACCAAAGGTTGCACACAACAAGGTAAATAGCAGAAGTAATGGCACTGGGCCACCGGGGAGCATACGTAATAAAAACAGGGAAGGAAGGAGGAGTGGATGCCAGTTCCGGCGTTTTCAAGTGATTCCGTCTTCCCTGGAATTGCTCATTTTCGGCACGTGGAATTCCGCCCGGCGATGCCGGCAACATCGGATCGGTGATCCCGAAACCCGAAACACTGGGGGCGGCGGGAGTAAATTGATGTGCATTGAGCCGCTGCTCTTGCTGAGAATTCACTTCTCTTATGATGTAGATTTGATTAAAGGTTTCCCATTGCTTTCAGATTGTGAGAGAGAGAGCAACAGAGCGGACGGCAACCAATTTTCGCTGCAGCGGTAGCCGACAACGCCTTCTAGATATCGCAGACATACACATAATGCAGACGGCTATCAGCGGTGCCCTCGAGCGAAAATTCAACGCGGATGTGCATGTGTGTCCACGAACTCAATTACTGAGACGATGCGCCCTCGACAACATGAAACTGAAAAAAAAAACACGGCAATACACCGCAGCGAATCATCTGTCTGCCGCCGGACGTTGATCCACGCAGCCCGCGAAACCCAGGAGCTTTCAAGCTCTTATTTTCTTGCCACAGAAGATTGGAGTCGTCAGCAGGACTTGTCAGAAGCAACCACCAACATTACCATAACAACAACAAACAGTTGCAAACCAAAAACACAACAAATGTCAGCAACAACCAACCAACAGACAACCAGAACAATAACAGCTGCAACAACAAACAACCAGTCCATCAACAAGAACAACAACGTCGACGTGTAACAGGATTCCTGACTTCGCCATATAAGGTGATAGGACTAAACAAGTCGCCACAAGGGCACGCGCGACCAAGACAGGCTATCCCGAACAACGTAGAGTACCATCCATGCACACATGAAAAGCAAAAAATGTGTCAAGAAGAACGAAACGGAGTGGGTTCCAGAACACACACGACACCGGGGGCTGAAACAAAACAAGAGCAACCCCTCCAGCGTGGAAGGAACTACACAGGCACGCCGTTGTATATCTTCTCCTGTACAAGCAAGCATGTAGATCCAACAAGGACACACGAATTCATGGGCATGAACGACTGTCGATGTGACTCGGCCTCCTCTCCACTCCTGGAGGAGCACGCCGCCCAAAACGAAACATACATGGGACAGTCAGACGCACTGACTTGTCCGAAGCAACCTAGTAGATATCCATACGTTACTACTAAACGTACTACTTCATCAAATTGGATCATGGACGTCCAGAAACTTTTATAGAGAAACCTTCGCGATCACCCGAAGAAACGCTGTGCAGCTTCTTCGTAGTACTGACCAAAATGGTAGGGAGAGTATCCCAAGAAACGCAATGCAGTTTCCTGATGAAGAAAAAAAAAGGGGGGGGGGGGGGGGTACTCTTATGTTTTGCATGCCTTAGCGGTTAGAACATTGACCACGCGTCCTCGAGAGGATGGAGCATTGTTCCCACAGGACCGATCGCCGATGGCCAATCGTTCCTTTCTACTTTGCCAAAGGTGGCTCAAAAATGTCTTCCCTAGTCTGTCTATCCTAACGATATCCCTTCCCGCCTTTTCAACCCACCTCCTTTGCCTCAGTACAGCTACCGTTCTTTCCTCTCTATTCCATGCCTCAAACATCTCCCTGCACGTCCCATCTATTTTTCCCAGCTCAGTCACGTACACTTCCCTCTCCTTCTTGTACCGCGGACATTCCGCGACTACATGAACACGGTCTTCGCATTCGAAGCCGCAATCACATTTGCACTCGTCGTCTTCGTCGTCTACCGTCCAATGTCTTCGTCGACGTTCTCGAGGGCCTATGTTCCCGGTCCTGAATTTGACCTTAAGNTTCACAGCAACACTGTCAGGCAGTCGCCCAAAACACGACACCACACCACACTTCACGGTGGCTGAATGCACAACCGACGGAATGCGTCCGTCTTGTGCGTTCTTACCCTCCCCTCTAGCTGCGCACGCCATGGTGCGGATTCTTTATAAATATGTTCATACAGTAAAACTACACTCGTACAACGACTAGCATAATCGTACCCAAGCTTGTAGCGACTGTATCAGAACGAGGACGAAAGCCCTGAACGGGGCCGCGCGATCTTGCGATAGATCTTGCGGAAAGCATTCGGTAGAGGTCCCTGTGAAAGGTGGGGGGGGAGGGGGGTTCTCCCTATTGTAGCCCTGCCGGGAGAATGATCGTAAAAAAGGCAACCTCGCGGGCCTGTATCGGAGGTCCTGCCAAAACTACTCAAACGTGGACCACTCACCGATGGCATCCAGTTCAACAACAAAGAAAAATATATAAACAACGAAAAAAACATGTGCGTGTGTGCGTGTTTTCATCGCACCTGGTGTGGGCACCGGTCTACCACGTTTCGGTAGAGATGCTTGACAACCCATAACATACGCGGTCACAAAAATCCTCCAATTAACATTACACTTCCAAGGAACATCGATGAAAATCTTACCGCCTCCCCAACGAAGAACACAACAAAGCTCCGCCGCCGAAATGAACCGGAACCTATCGCACCGCGTTTCTCCGCTAGGCCGCCTCCAACAACATTGCCCGTAGAGCGCTGCGGCTTCGCGCCGAGGCATAAGTAACCACACTACGCACGCGACGTCTTGATAACGGAGGCGGGGTGGCCCCCAGTCTTGAATTAGACGGAGTCTTTCAGGAATTTCTCGGAAAACTCTCGCAGAGGCCTGTCTCCTCCAAACAAGGCCGCGCAACCGTATGAGTCTCGCCGCATGTCTTGAGGAAGCCAAACCCGCCCCTCCGGTTCCAAGATGATGTTTCCAGGTGGGCAGGGTGGTGACCCCGGTTAAGCGGCCGCCTGCCTTGAGCGGCGTGACCGTCAAACAATCGCGCGAGGCACCACTGCACCTACCTACAGCCGCCACCCTAGCGACCTGCCCTGAATAGCGACCACCGTATTCCCTCCTTGACACCAGGGGTTATCGAAAAAAATGGGCGGGTCTACCACTGCCGCGCCATCACGTAGACCGTCCCTCCCAACGCCGGCGGAGGCGCTCGCTCTTTTTGCGGCCGTTGTCCCGACGTGTGCTCATGCCCCTTTTCGCTGTCGCTCAAGGTGGGGTGGTCGTCTTCCTCGTTCGGAGGGTTGCGACGGAGGTCCCTCAGGGTGAAGCTGAGGCTTGCAAGCTTCCTGGTAGAGGGGGTGGGGGGTGGGGGTTACTCTTATATTTTGCATGCCTTAGCGGTTAGACCATTTGACCACGCGTGGGGGGGGAGGGGGGGCGTACTCTTATGTTTTGCATGTCTTAGCGGTTAGACCATTGACCACGCGTCCTCGAGAGGACGGAGCATTGTTCCCACAGGACCGATCACCGATGGCCAATCGTTCC